ATTTCTTATGACCTTGTGTTTGTATCGATTTTTCTGTATGAATTCAATTAGTTTTTTCTCTTATGTGATTCACGTTACGCAATGAGAGGCAAAATTGAAGAGGTCTCTCGAAATGCCATGGATCCAATAAATCTTGCTGTTATTGCTATCTCTAAATATTCAAATTACTTGTGTCTCATAATAATAAAATATTTTTGTGAGCCAGAACAGCAAATTTCCGAAAAGAATAATTTCCTGGAAAACGGCCACAACAAACAGAGGGGTTGAATCGGTTCATTGTAAAAAAAAAACAGCTCCAGAGTGCACCGACAAAAAAGTATGGAAGATACGAAGTGTACAAATGAGATCTATATAGGGAGATGGTGAGTTGACTTAATAAAACGCCATTTATTCACAGGGAACGAAGTAACCGGAGATTACTAATTAGAGTAGAAGAATATACATTCAGGCAGTCTTCAATTTGCAGGCGTGTTTAAAGCACCTACTGTAAGAGAAAGTGAAAGTCAGGACAGCAACATACCTGCCAGTAGTCCAAACATTTGCGCATTAGAGCATAGGATGGGAAGAAGACTAGAATGCCACGAGGGATGATTCGAAAGAGATTGGCTAAAAACACAGGGACAGAACAGGCCTTAATGCAAACATGAACAATGCACTCCTACAGTAGGCAGAGGTAATTCACGCAAAGTTATGCTCGAAACCGGACTTGGTAGTTTACCATACAGTTTGTCACGTTATTTTGATACAATGAATGGATTTGATCTTCAGAAAGCCTTTAAGTAAGAAAACTGTTCATTCAGTTCAGCTTAAGGGTATTAGGCGAAGTCGGTGGACGACAGAACCAATCCTAATTATTTTTAAGCGTTCCCTATGAGGGAACCCCAATACAGGCAAAGAAGTTTCAATAATATCTCCCTTTCAGAACCGGAAATACCAGTCTTGAGTTGATGAAAATCAGATGAAGCCAAGTTTGAGAAATCGCATTGTTTTTTTCAGAAACGAGGAACCATTTCAGTTTTAAAAATTATTCTTTGCCAATGTCTGAAGTTTTCGTGAAAAAAACGTAGTAAAACGTTTTAACCATATTTTTTTACGGCATCAACGAGTTGGGACGGTAACCAAAATGTGTATATTTTATCGTGCAAATGAAGGTAAGTAAC